CTTAGTGAAATGAGCCAGTCCCTCAAAAACAAGCATCATGTTTCCCTGATCTATAATACACAGAATACAAAATTATAATTTATTTATAAGAGCAAGAGTAATGTTCTGTCATTTGATTATTATATATAGTCTATTTATATTTCACAGAAAGAGTGGAGATTTTTTTTTTGCTCTTTTAATAATTTCTACTTGATGCCTTTACCTAATAGGGCATTAAGCCTGTGATTGTGAAGTGAAATCAAAGTAAGCAATCATAAAAATTAGAAACAAAAGCAAGAGAGAAGGAGGGTGGGTGGGAAATGTAGGCTGGAGGTGGGGTAGGACGAGAAGTATCCCTATGCTCCCAAATCCATATTGGGATATAAGTGAAACTTGTCCACTCTACATAAACAAAAATGTGTATTATTGCAATTTTTTAATATGTTGAGGCTTACCTATGGCCTGCCACATGGTATAGAAAAAGTTCCATGCACTGATGAGAAAAATGTGTACTCTGTCGCTATGAGATGAAATATTCTGTTGATATTAGGTTCATTTATACTATAGATTAGCTCTGTTGTTCCTTTTTTGTATAATTCATTTGTCCATTGATAAAACTGTGTGCCAAATACCCCCATTATTGTTGTATTGAAACCTATGTCTCTCTTTATACCCCTATAGTGTTTAGACAGCCAGGCAAACTGGCATTAGGTGCATACATGATTACTATAGTCACATCTTCCTGTTTAATTAATTTTGTAATTATCACATATTGTTTGTCTCTTTTGATAGTTTTTGGGTTAAAGTCTATATTGTCTGATATTAGGATGGCTATTTCTGCTCTTTTTTGCTTTCCATCCTTTCTCTTTTAGTCTGTGTGTATCTTTGTTGGTGAAGTGTGTGTCTTGTAAGTAGAAAATAAATGCGTCCTATTTTATAACCCAATGAGCCAGTCTATATCTTTAAATTGGAAAATTGAGGTCATTTATAAAGTTATTGATATGTAACAACTTAGCCACGCTATTTTCCATGTATATTATTCAGACTCTCTTTGTATTTGTACTAGGAGATTTTTTTTGCCTTCACATTCTTTCATAATGATGATCATTCTCCATTTCACGTGTAAGACATCCCTTGAGCATTTTTTGTAAGGCTGAAGCAGTGGTAACGAATTCTTTCAACTTGTTCAGAGCCTTTTACCTTTTTTGTTGTTGTTGTTAATTACAGCTTTTCAGGGTACAGTATTCTGCACTGATTTTACTTTTAAGAATTGAACTATGTCTTTCCATTCTTTCCAAGCCTGTAGGGTTTCTGACAAAGAAATTGGCTGTCAGGCTAACTGGAGATCCCATCAAGGTAATCTGGTGTTTGTCATGCACATTTTAGAATCTTTATGTTTTACTGTGGAAAATCAGACTACAATGTGTTGTGGTGAAGACCTTTTGGGTTGTCTATTATGTAATTTCTGTATTGGGATGTCCCTTTCTTTCTAATGAGGAAAATGTTCTGTTATCGTTTCATTGATTAGGACTTCTAATCCGTTCTTTTCCCTCCATTAGGAACCTCTATGAGAGGGTTATTAGGTGTTTAATAGTGTCCCACAGATTTCTGACATTATTTTCAATTTTTCTCACTTTCGGTCTACTTTCAAAAATTTGACTTTTACATTGTAGATTACATCTTAGAGGACTTTCCACTGTGCTTTTTTGTTTGGCATATTGAATTATTCATTTACAATATTCAGTTTGATTTTTCTTAAACTATCTCAATCTCATGAGAAAATTTTTTATTCATGCTATGTATGGATTTCCTTAATTTATGCATCTATTTTCAGTAGCTTTGTGAACTTTTTAAAATTTCATTTTCAGGCATTTCACTAATCTCTTCATCTTTGCATTCTAATGTTGAAATAATATTGTGTTCCTTGAGAGAGTCATTCTGTCTCCCTTGTTCACATTTTTCATGCTTCCGCATTTATTTCTAGGCATTTGTTGGACCACTTGTTGGTTTTCTCCTTTGACAACTTTTATCTTTGAAATATGCCTTTGTAGTTGAGTGTCTATGCCTTCATTAGGTATTAGGAGGTGTATGGTAACTGCGGCAAATGAGTTCTGGTCATTGTCCCGGATGGTGCAATAATATCTAAGGAGAGCCTCTATCCTGTAGCGAAGTGCAGCCAAGTGAAGAAGGAAGAAAACCAGGAAAGTGTGATATTACAAAAGGCCAGTTAAAAATCAGTTTCCAGAAAAAGATGCAACTCTCTGTGCCAAATGTTGCTAAGTAGTGAGAAAAATGAGAACTGATCATCACATTTAGTGCATGGAAGTCATGGATGACCTTGAAAATAATGGATTAATTACAATGGTAATAAAAAATTCCAGTATGTTCAAGAACAGAACTTGAGGACATAGGAAATACAGTTGTTTCAAGGAATTCTTTCTACATTCACAAACAGAAATGTGTGTTGAAGGCAATTTATATTTTAAAATATTGGTAATTTTTAACATACCTTTTAGCTGAAGAAAACATCCAATAAATATAGGAAACATATTTGTAGTACTATGCTAATTGAATATACAATAACCATTTTGCATGTCGTTTTTTATTAACAGAATCTAAATTTTGATTGTAACAGCAATATATCATATTTGATGGTTTAAAACTATATAAATTTATATAAAACTATAAAACCAGTTCCAGAGAGCAAAAGTTAAAAAATTAAGTTGGAGAACTGAAATCAAGATATCAACATGTTCAAGCTCCCCCTAAGAGCTCTAGAGTGAAATATATAATATATAATTAATAGCAGTGGCCTGAAAAACAAAGTACTCAGTTCTTTATATTCAGAATCCTAAGAAAATATTTCTGGGCAAGCCTGGAAAAGCAGCAGAGGATGGCCCAAAGTCTTAGGCTTCTGCACCCACGTAAGAAGCCAGGAAGAAACTCCTGGCTCCTAAGTTTGGATCAGCTCAGCTCTGGCCATGGTGACCATTTGGGGAATGAACCAGCAGATTGAACACCTCCTTTATTGTTTCTCCTTCTTTCTCTGTAACAATCTTTCAAGTAAAAAAAAATTTTGTTATTAAAAAATCATGTGTGGCATCTTAATTTCTATTAGATGAGAGCACTTGCAACGTTCTTTAGAATACTGGGTGCTACAGTACATTCTTGGGCCAAGGATCTTGTTAAAGGAGGTCCAAAAATGTTGAGTAGGGTGCTGTTACACTAAATTTAGCTGTCGCAGGAGAGGAAAAGAAGAAGAAAAGAACTACTATTTCATGGGCCTCATGTAGATTTTCATTGAAAAAGTGAGAAGAAGAATTCCTTGGATCAAAAGGAGTGAAGAGACACACCACTGCAGCCAGAAGGTAGCTGCTGCTAATGTGAAACACCATCAAGCATGACAGGAGAGGAGGACAGGCAGTAATCACACCAACAGATCACACCCTTCCACCAGCTGACACTCTGGACTCTTGCACCACACATGAGACTCAACAGGGCTCATTGGCCTGACCTAGCTCATGCCTTCAAATTAAAAAAAAAAAAAAATTGGCATCAGTTTCCAACCCCACAGATGATGCTTAAGTGTGTGTTACACACAGAAGGAAAATGAAAGTCATGACTATGATAGACCATGAAGGCATACAATCTCCTAGTAAAAGTAAAAGAGAAATCTAAAATGCCAGGAGTATATATGGCTTTTCTTTACAGTGCAGAGCTTCTTAGGTTGATGTGATCCTGTTTTTGCTGATATTGCTCATGCTTCTGGGGTCTTTTCCAAGAAGTTTTTAGCTAGGCCACTGTCTTGCAAAATTTCCCTCATGTTGTTCTACAGAAACTAGATGATATCATATCTTAGATTTAAATCCTTGATCTATGTTTTTTTTTTTTTGCATGAGGTGTAAGGTCAGGATCTTGTTTCTTACTTATGCATATAGAGATCCAACTGTCCACACACCACCTGTTGAAGAGACCATCCTCTTTCCAGTGACTTATTTGAGCTCGTTTGTGCAAGACTAGTTGTTTGTAGATGGATGGATTGATTTGTTGTGCATTCGTCTGCACATTTATTTTTGAACCAGTACCCAGCTGATTTTATTATTGCTGCCTGTAGTATGTCCTGAAATCTGGTATTGTGGTGTCTCCAGCTTTATTTTTGTTTTTTTTTTAGGATTGCTTTAGTTATTCTAGATCTCTTGGGTTTCCATTTGATTTTTAGCATCGTTTTTCTTTCTAGATCTCGGAAGAATGTGACTTGTATTTTGATTGGGGGTACACTGAATTTGTAAATAATTTTGGGAAGTTTAGAAATTTTGATAATTCTTTCAATCTGAGAGTATGGCAGATTCTTCCATTTTTGGAAATAGTGATTCAAGGAAACTCAAAAGAGCAAGTGGAACAGCTGCTATTTCCAGAAAGGAAGGCCTTACACGTTGTACCTACAAATGTTTATTCAGATCATTCTCATTACAAAGTATAAAATCATTTGTAACAGGAACAACATGTTATTTCCTATAATTTAACAGCTTAACTAAAAAATTCACTGCAACAACATTCTAGGTTTTTTAATTACATTTAAATTTGTTTTCTTATTGTAACTCTTCTAGCTGAATTTAACACCAACCCATGAAATAAATTTGTACTCATGGAATGCCAGATCATTGCTTTTTCTTCAAAGGGTTTTTCTTCCTTTCTTGATCATTTAAGTAGGGTAGGAATATCTAATATAGAGAGACACATTTCTGCTTATGGACATTTGAAAATATTTCAATTTCTTTGCATTTATCTTTTACAAAACTTTGCTTTTCCTGGTCTTACACTTCCACTATGAGAGTAGACCCCTTCAGCTCCAGATCTTCTCTCAGGGCTTCTGATGTTGAATAGTGAGATACTAAGCTTATGCTCTTCCTCTCGTTTAAGTTTGGAGAGCTTCTTTGCCACCTAATTTCTGTTGAAGATGCATCTAACTTTTTCCCCATTATTCTCTCTTGATTTATGTAGCTACCTTTCCTCAACTTTACCTCTGCTGGAGATGAGTCTGTTTTCAAAATTCTTGGAGTTTCATCACCAAATTTTACTTCTGGAGGAAAGGATAATCTTTCCATCTTTCCACCTGGAGCATCTTCTGAGTGGAATTCAGGTAAAGGCTGTGTTTTGTCTTCTGCTATTCTTAGACTAGGATCGGTAAAAAATGGAGTATCCATGGATAGATATGGATCATAACTTGCAGAAGAAACATCAATTGCAATATCTTGATAAGGCTGGCTCAAAGTTGGCATGGCAAAGGCTTCTGCATCATTGTCTGGCAACTGGAAAATACAACAGTGTAACAAGCTGCCAGTTACTCATTAGTGACTACAAAGTATTTTAAATTAATAAAATGACTTAAATCATATCCTTATCTTTACAATAACAGGTTACTATTAATACTTGTAAGTCATTTTATTGCTTAATAAAAGGCATGATACATTTTCTACTTGCCTATTACCTATAAAATATTTTTAAAAATTTACAAAGCAGTAGTTCCAATGTCTAGATTTTATATATCAGCAGCTCAAAAACAAAATCTGAAGATCTGACATTTTACCATCTCACAATCACCAATATGTCACTCAACATGGAAAATTTTAGTAATAAAATGGTATAAAGAATAAAGAAAATTTTAATAACAAAATTGTACAAAGGAGACTGCTACAAAATAAGACAGCATATAATGATAAATAAAATAAATTTAGCTTTATGAAAAATTATATATATAAATATGTCTTTTTCATTCCTCTGCTTGACACAGGAAAAAAAGTACAAACTGTCACTTGGGAGCCACCAGCCTATTGATGGGAGTTACTAAATGCTATTTGTCAAATGTTATCTACCTTATTAAATTATACAGGAATCTACTGTCTTATTATAAATATATTTAGCAAAATTAGCTACAAATAAAATTTTATTATGCATCTCTGCATTTTATTGATTCCTAGTTGTATGAAGTTTATCAATGATAAATTAAAATTGTATGAGATAGAATAAAAATGTTGTTATCTATGGTATCCATTCCTAAGCTTGTATTACTAAGCTACAGATTTTTTTCTTACTTTTTTTCTTTTCCTCAACTCCTTTTGTTCACCATATCCACATGTATATTTAAATATCATTATTTTATGCAGAAACATTTCTATAAGGAGTATCATTTAATTCTTAAAATTATGTAACTCTATAGCTACTAGGAATAACTAAGAAATGACTAAACAACTTTCTAGATGCTTTTCTCTTTCCATCTAGAAATAATTTTCCACATACAAATATTTCATCTCTTTATGAAATAATAATCATTAGAAATTCTCTTCCAACTTTTTATACCTTGAGTGTAGTAGCCCCTTTGTTTTCAGGTGGAACATGTGCTGAAAAATAGAAATAGTTTATTTTACACAAAATCATATATGTGTTATTTATTTATGCATATATACATTGACAAAATACGATTATAATTTTTCTTACCACAAAGATCAACATAAAGAAAAGTAGCAATTGTAACATAACATATTTAGCAAAAATGCGCTGGTGAAGCTCTGGGAAGATGAAAGTGTGGCAGATGAAAAGTGTGAAGATGAAGCATGCAAAACATGGTAAAGTTTCAGAGCCAACAATATTAGGTATAAAATACACACTTTACATACTTATATAATCATGTATAGGCTATGAACAGAAATAAAATAAATCCCAGATGATAAATGAAAAGGTGGAGATTAGAAAAACAATAGAAGAATGATGTATGAAGTCAGAGAAAGTATGACTATTCCAGGAAGGTTGATTGAAGCAGTGGTAAAATTTTCCTAGAAATATCAGCAATATATGCTTACTGGATACTAAAGAAAACTTTACAGGCATGGGAGCACAAAGAACTAAGACTTGAAGAAATGTATAATTTGAAAATAAAGAAAACTTTACTATGGTCACAATCTGTATCTTTTTGGTCAATTCCTTTTTGCTTCCTTCTTGTAATTGTGGAAAGACTATGTAACATGAGATGTACCATTTCAGATGTTTAACAGACGCAAGGTTTTTAGCCAGCAGAGTTCTAGTACTTATCATTTCACATAATTAAAATTTTATTCTTGTTGAGTAGCTACACCCCATTTGTCCTTTTTTTCAGTCTCAGGACTACCATTCCATTCTGTGTGTTTGACTGCTTTGTATACTTCATATATGTGGAGTCATGTAATGTTTATCCTTCTGTGACTGTCTTTTTTAACTTAGCATAGCATTTTCGAGGTTCATCCATATTGTCACATATGTTAGGAATTTCTTCTATTTTAATGCAGTGTGCTTCTATTTTAATGCAGTGTACACATATTTTCTTTAATTGCTTCATCCATGGAAGGATATTTAAGTTGTTATTATAACTTGGCTGTAGTGAATAATACCATAATGAAAATGAAAATGCAGGCATTGCTTTGAGATTCTGATTTCAGTTCTTTAGGATAGATACTCAGAAGTGGGGTTGCAGAATCATAAGATGTTATCTGTAAATTATTTTTTTAGTAACACGTGTATTGTGTTCCAAATGGCTACACCATTTTACTTTCCCAAGAGCCGATAAGGACTCACAACTTCTACAAAACCTTGCCAGCATTTTCATCTTTTGAGCTTTTTGAAAAGAGCCATCTTAATAGATATCCAATGATTTGATTTGCATTTTCTTGATCATTAGTAATGCTAAGCACTTGTCATATAACTGCTGACCATGTGCACATCTCCTTTATAGGTGATTTTTCTGTTTAAATTATTTGGAATTAGGGCCCAGCACGGTGGCGCAAGTGGTTAAAGGTCCTCGCCTCGCACGCCCGGGATCCCACATGGGCGCCGGTTCTAATCCCGGCAGCCCCGCTTCCCTTCCAGCTCCCTGCCCGTGGCCCGGGAAGGCAGTCGAGGACGGCCCAAAGCTTTGGGACCCTGCACCCACGTGGGAGACCCAGAAGAGGCTCCTGGCTTTGGATCGGCATAGTATCGGCCCGTTGCGCTCACTTGGGTAGTGAATCATGGGACGGAAGATCTTCCTCTCTCTTTCTCTCCTCTGTGTATATCCGCCTTTCCAATAAAAAAATAATAAAAATAAATCTTTAAAAAAAATGTTCATTTTCAAAAAAAAAATTATTTGGAATTAGTTCATAGGCAGAGAAATAAATAGAGAGGAAGACAGACACATGGAGCTCTTTTCCACTGGCTCGCCAGGGCTTGGTCAAGGCTAGAACCGGGAAACAGGTATACAATTCTGTATTCCATAAGGCTAATCAGAAACCCAATTAACTGAGCCATCACCATTGCCTTCATGGCCTTCCTAATTAGGAGGAAGCTTGTGTTACAGAAACAGAACTGGTAACGGAATTCAAGCACTCTGATGAGGGATGTAGGTATTTTAACCATTGGATAAAATGCTCCCTTCCAAATAATTAGTTTTAATTAGCAAATAAAAATATACATGTATATGGGTGCTGTGATGTTTTGATACAATATGCATTGTATAATGTTAAAATTAGAGTAAATACATCTATCTCCTCAAAGGTTTATCATCAGAACCTATTTCTCCTACCTAACTATAACTTAGTACTTATTGATCCATGTTTCTTCATTCTGCTCTTTCTGTCTCTGGTACCTATCAGTCTACTCTCAACTTCCATGAGTGAGATTATGCAGTAACTGTCTCTCCATATCCCACTTAAAAATAATGACATTGATGTTGTCATAAACTATTTAATTTCATTTTTTTGGTTGAATTGTGAATGTACTCCACCTTTTCCTTATCTATTTATCCATTTGGGGAAAATTAGATTGTTTCAGTTTCTCATCTAATGTGAATAATGCTACAAACTTGTAGATAAAACTGACACGGTTCAAATGCAATCGCATCAATTCATGGTTATGTAACCTCTGATTGGCTACTGAGCTGTTTGATAGTGAGTTTTCTCATTTGTAAAAATGTAGATAACAGTGTTAGTTTCCTCAACCAATTGTTAAGGGATTGATTAACATAATCAAATTAAAATTCCTGGAACAGAATGATCAACAAATATTTAGCTATAATATGGATACCAAAAACAGATGTTACTAGATGATCCAATGGGACTCAAAACATTATTTGGGTACATGAAAAAAAAAGATGAGATGGCAAATACCAATCAATGAGAAAGACTGTCCTTCATTTTGCTAATGATAATGACAATTTGTTAATATTCCACCCGAAGAACAGGTTAAGGATGCAATAGCTCTACTAGCCTGGCAGATAACTAGGAGTTAAGAAATAAACATATAGGGGCATGGTGTAGTAGCCTAGTGGCTAAAGTCCTCGCTTTGCACATGCTGGGATTCCATATGGCTGTTGGTTCTAATCCCAGCAGCCCCATTTCCCATCCAGCTCTCTGCTTGTAGCCTGGGAAAGGAGTCAAGGACAGCCCAAAGTTTTGAGACCCTGAACCCACACAGGAGACCTAGAAGAGGCTCCTGGCTTCTGTCTTCGGATTGGCTCAGCTCTGGCCATTGCGGCCACCTGGGGAGTGAATCAGTGGATAGAAGATCTTTCTCTCTCCTTCCATCTGTATATTTGACTTGCATAAAAATAAATAAATCTTTATTTTTTTAAAAAAGAAAAGTATATTAAGAAACTTGATATAACCAGAGAAGTAGTAGATAGAAAAGATAATAAAATTTGAGTCAAAAATCTTACAAGAATAATTATTCCACACAAGAAAAAAAAATAAATGTTCTAAAGATACTTTACTATACCAATTAGTATTTACGACCAACATCCCTGGTGTGATGGCTCAACTGGTTAATCTCCACTTACAAGTGCTAGGAATTCATATGAGCACTGGTTTGTGTCACAGCTGCAACATTTCCCATTCAGATCCCTGCTTATGGCCTGAGAAGGCAGTGGAGGATGGCCAAAAGCCTTGAGACCCTGCACCCACATGGGAGACCCAGAAGAATTTGCTGGATCTGGCTTCAGATCAGATGAGTTCAGCTCTGGCTATAGCAACCTTTTGTGGGAGTGAACCAGTGAATGGAAGATCTCTCTATATATAAATTTGTCTTTCCAATAAAATTTTAAGTAAATCAAAATAAATTTTTTTTAAAAATTAAATAAATCTTTAGAAAACAAACAAACAAAAAAAGAAGTGACAACGCTCAGCACAACAAAAGAATATATGACAAACCACAGCAGGCATAATATTGAATGGGGAAAACTTAGAAGAAGCATTTTCACTAAGACACAGAACAGAAAAGGTACCACTATCACTACTGTTATTCAATATGGTCCTGGAAGTTTTAGCCAGAGTCATTAAGGCAAGAAAAATAAATCAAAGGGATACCAGTTGGAAAGCAGGGAGTTAAATTATCCCTGAAGGCAAATGGCATGATTCTCTATATAGGGGAACCAAAAGTCCCTACTAATAAAACCATAGGAGCTCATGAGAGAGTTTGGTAAAGTTGAAGAATATAAATCCAACATGCATAGCTGGTTCAAGAGGTGGATGAAACCTGACTCTGCACACATGAATCCAATGTGAGGACTTCCCAGGTAAGATTTCTTGGGAGATTCTCCAACTAGACCACTGGGCTCAAACTCCGGCCTCAGGGAAAATCATAGGGATTTGTGGTTCAACCTCAAAGTTCATGTATCAGGATTTGACATCCTCAGTTGCCAATGCTCTTGCAATGAAGAACATACCCAAGTGCATATAAGGAATAGAACAGCCAGCTCATCTAAGTCAACAGATGACACCAAGTACCTTACCAAAAGATGGAAAGCAGAACAGGTTAAACAACTCTCCTGGTCAGGTTTTGCAAGTGTCTAGTTCTGTGGATACCCTGAAATAGACTTGGTCAGTCAAAAGACCTTATAGAAATGTCCTTAGCTCTGGTACAACAAAACCAACAGCAACTCAGAACTTTCAAGACCATTCAAGTAACACTGTGAGAGCATTCTTCCCCACATCAAGGTCACTAACATAACATCAAATCACCATCTCTATGGCCTGGCGTGTTGGCAAAACTGGCTAATCCTCCACTTGGAAGCACTAGCATCCTGTATGGGCACTGGGTCATGTTCCAGCTGCTCCATTTCCCATCCAACTCCCTGCTTGTTGCCTGGGAAAGTAGTAGAGGATGATTCAAAGTGGCTAAATCCTAGCCTTGCAAGCGCCTCTGGTACCCATGTAGGAGACCTAGAAGAAACTCCTGGCTCCTAGCTTCAGATTGGCTGAGCTACAGCCATTGCAGCCACTTGGGGAGTGAGACAGTGGACAATCTTTCTGTATCTCCTTCTCTCTGGTTATCTGCCTTTTCAATAAAAGTAAATTAAAAAAACACACATGATGGAATGTTTCACAACTTCCTCATCTCAGTCTTAATGATTCTAGTAATTTAAAAAAAAAAATGACCATCTCCATCCCTGGGTGCTGATGTAGTTTGACAGCAAGGAGTGCCTTCCCCCCTGTCCTCTAACTGCAGGCACAGGAGAAAAAAAAGAACTAAACATTTATCTCACCTACCTTCTTTCATACCTTAACTCTCTCCTTCCAGTCAGAGACCCACATAGCTATGCATCCCTCTCAACTATGTAATCAAGATTAAAAATAAAATAAAATTCTAAAAATCAATAGAATAAAAAGAAAAATCAGGCCTTGCATGAGGGCTCAATGGCTAAATCCTCGCCTTGCAAGTGATCAAATATGGACAACAGTTCGTGTCCTGGCTGCTCCACTTCTCATCCAGCTGCCTTCTTGTGGCCTGGGAAAGCAGTAAAGCACCTTTTTAAAAGAATAAAAAAAATCAATCACAAAAATCAACAACCTTTGTATATACAAACAATTCTGTGGGTGGGAAAAAACTTGTAAGATCAGTCTCATTCAAAATAGCTGCACAAAAATTTAATATCTTAAAATAAATTTAAACAAGGATGTGGGAGATCTCTACAATGAGAATTACAAAACATTTTAAAAAGTGGAATAAGACCCTCCAAAATGGAAAATCCTCCATTTCATGGATTGGTAGAATTAATATCATCAATATTCCCATACTACCGAAGGTAATTTACAGATTCAATGTGACTCAATCAAGCTACCTATGACATTCTTCTCAGATCCAGAAAAAAATGATGCTAAAATTCATATAGAAACACAAGATCCAGGATAGCTTATGCAATATTAAGCAACAAAAATAAATTTGAAGGCATCACAATACCAGGTCAAGATGTACTATAGGGTTGTTTAATCTAAACAGCCAGTAAAGAGAAGCTTTGGAAGTGTTACAAAATAAATACTATTATATCAAAGCTACAATTAAATACATATTTATTTCCTGACAAAAAGTGAAATTCATTTAAATAAATGGCTCATTTTGTGATATAGTCACCTTCATTTTGATCATCATAATAGTAAGTAAGCAAAGGTCAAGCTAATTTCTTACCTAATACTGCAGCGTTTTTAGACTTCTCTTCAGATGGATTATTATCCTGGAGTGGCTTACTCACAGTGCTCTCCTAAAAGCAAAAAAAAAAAGAAAGAAAATACACTGGAGAAAACATTTAATGAGCTATTTTTCCTTGCTACAATACCTTCTTTTAATATTCTTTTTTTCTTCAAAATAAACAGGTAACAAGGATATGGGACTTGAAAAAATAATTTAAGAGCACCATTTTAAAGATCAAAATACACTGAAGAGGAGACAATGCTCTCAAAGGAGGGCATCTTGTGGAATACATGATACTATACTACAAGATAAATTACATCATGTTCTAACTTCAGAGGGCATGAGGTGATACTTCCAGGAAACAGACTGTCATTAAAATACATTGTGGCCTGTGACTGGGAAAAATATGGGTATTTTACAGAATTCTTATAAACTACTGAGTCTTCAATGCATACTCAAAGGCTATAACTGACAAATTTTCAGAACATACTAATTCCATGGCAATAAATACCAATAAATTTACCCTGCAGTTAGAACTCTGCTCAATTATTGAGAAGAATGAGATGTCATGTTACAAATATCATTTTAGAGTTTTATTCTTGGTCAACATTCTTTGCTGAAATAGTTATGAAATTTTTATTTTTAGAGAATATATAGCTTATATTATAGTGCTAAATATTAAACCATTTTCATATATCTGATAAGCATCTAAAAGCCAGCATATGTTAAAAGTTCCTATAACTCAATAACAAAAAAACATCTTAAAACTGGCAATGAATTTGGATAAATATATATCCAAAGAAGATATGCAAATCATCAGTGAAAACATGAAAAGATGTTCACATTATTAGTCATTAAAGGAATTGCAAATTCAAACAATAATGCAGCTCCACTTGAAATTCAGAAGGATAATATAGTATTAACAATGATATGACAGAAGATAACAAATGCTGGTAAAGATCTGGAAATTCTCATACATTGTTGGTTGGAAGCAAAAATATTTACCCACAATGGTGAACAGTTTGGCAGTTTCTCGGAAATTTAAACAGAATTACCATAGGGAGAAGCTTATTCTTCTAGGGATGTACCCAAAAGAATTAAAAACATATGCTTCCTAAAAAATGCACATGGATGCTCAAAACAGGTTGATTCATGACAACACAACTGCAGAAACTACCCAAATATCCATCAAATTATTCAAGCATAAAGAAAAAGTGGTATGTCCATATAGCAGAATGTTATTTGAAAATAATAAGAAATGAAATATTCCTACATGCTATATCAGGGAAGAACTTGAAAACAATATGTTAACTAAAATAATCAGTTCACAAAGGACCACATGTTGCATGATTCCACTCACGTTGAAATGTCTAGAATAGATATTGTATAATGAGAAAGTCCATCAGTTGTTTAGGGCTGGCTGGGTAATGACTGAATTGGGAGAGTGTTGGCTAAAAATGAGTGAGGTTCCTTTTGTGGATTATGAAAATGTCCTGAAACTGATTATAAATATACTCCATATTTTTGGAGTATATTAAGATACACTTAAATAAGTCAATCATACGATATGTGAATTACAGCTTAATAAATCTGTGAAAATAGTCAATCTTTATTGAATGGCACATTAATGAAACAGGAAAGCACACGCACATGTATATTTATATTGCAATGTATAATATACATACTTGTCAAGAACAAAGAATGTTTAATCATCACAATCTCTGGTTAAAAATGTATTTGAATCTATATATGATAGAATTTGTTATTTCAATTACCTTAGGATATTTAATTTCCAATTTGGGGTTAATAATTTTGTTTAAATAGCCAACTTTTTCTATCCATGTACCCAGATTTCTATATTCTGTTTTCATTTTTTCCAACCTAAGAAAGTAATCAGTTACAGATTAAAAAAAATTATCAGAAAAAAATATATATGCATATGGCAGGATTCACAGAATAATATATAAAGATCCACTTATGTTTTAGAAATTAGTTATTATATTAGACTTAGTATTTAATCTATATAGCTTAGTCCCTTTTGACTGTTAGAATACCATAGCCTAGGTGTCATAAACAGAGAGGTTTACGTCTCATAGTTTGGAGGCTGAAGAGTCCTCCTCGAGGGGTCCACAAACAGGTCTGGGTTCTGCTGAGGTGCTCCTTTGGTTTGCAGAGGCCATCTTCTTACAGCCTCACACAGTGGAGAGAGATGAAATCTCAGATCTTCCTCATTTTTACAAGGACATCCATTAATCCCGTCATGAGGGCCCCAGTCTAATGACTTAACCCTAATTATCTCCCAAAGAACCTAATTCCAAAAAACATGACATTTGGCATTAGATCTTTAATGTATGAATTTGGATGTGTAAAGAGTGGATGGGGGACACAGAGAGGTGCTTGACACCAATCTTCAGTCCATATCTCTATATGTACATATGTCACAAAGTATTCATATATATGCATGTTATATATACATACACATACATACGCATATACATATACTTATACACTCACATACAATCTGTTTGTCAGTAACACAAGTCCTGAGGAAAGAAGTTAGCTTCTAAAACTTCAAAAGATTTAAATAACCTAAAAATATAATTAACAGGAGTTTAAACAGAGAAAAGGAAAAGTTTCCAATTCATTTCATTAAAACACTATGGCCTTGACAACATCACAAGAAAGGAAAATTACAGTCTCCATAAACACAGATGCAAATGCTATAGAAAAAATAATTATTGTGGAATAAGAATCCAGTTACATAGAGAATGCAATGTATCATAAACAAAGCTGGTATTCCAGGAATACCAAAATGATATTTTTGACATTCACATTAGAAAATATTTATATAATGTGACTACAATTTAACTGAGGAAAAAAGGTTTGAAAAAAATCTCACATTTTTACTTGCATTGAATTTTTTATAAAGTCTTTAAAAACTAGGAATAGAATAAAATAATATAGGACAGTACCTCTAAAAGTCCATGGAAAGTAAAATTAAAACATGTTTATTTTGGCACAAAAAGATTTTGAAATGCATAATTCTTAGGTAATATTATTTTTCATACTTCCCATTCATACTTAACCTAATACAAGATATGAAGAAAATAAAGAGAAAAAAGGGGAAGGAGAAAAGAGGAAGGAAGGGAGCTGGGGAAGACGGCAGGCCAAAAATAGGAAGAAAAGGAAGAGAGGGAAAAAATTTTTAAAACTCCTGACAAAATTAATAACATTTCTTTAAAGAACATGATCAAAAAGTGTTCATCTTGTCATTTTATCAGACATTAACTGGAGTGTCCTACTCACCTAATAAGACAAGAAAATAAAGTTTTAAAGGAGTGAGAGTAAAGAAAAAAACTGCTATTATTTTGTTGTCATAATTATCTAAATAAATTTTCCTAAAAGATGCTACAAATTAAAGATAAATCATTATAAACATGACAGTTTTTGCAAAACAAGCATGTGAAAGTTATCAAAATCAAACTGGATTCACTTGGGTTAATCCTAGCAAAAACAAAGAAAGTCAGTCAACCAGGTATTCAGGAAACTAAGTTCTCACTCAAGTTGGCTCAGTGGCAGAGCCAGTTAACTGTCTGCCTTCTGCCCTGGCAGAAGTGGGTGCTGAGTTGGGTCCCAGCTGCTACATTTCCAACCTAGTTCCCTGCTAATGACCAGGAAAAACAGCAGACGACAGCCCAGGGTATTGGGCCCCTGTATCCAAATGGAAGATCCAGAAGAAGAACCTGGCTCCCAGCCTCAGACTAACCCAGCTCTGGCTACTGGGGCAATTGGGAAGTGAACCACCAGGTAGAAGATCTCTCTCTTCCTCTGTAACTTTGACTTCCAAGTAAAATAAATAAAGCTTTCAAAAACAAACTTTCACTTATAATTCCCTAATAGTAACTATCACAAAATACTGCCAGACCACATCTAGTACAAAAGCCACTGCAGTATTATATTTTAAAAAGTCGAATCAAATGAGACCAAACATACAACAGTCTACAAGTACATCTACTCAGCAACTGTCTTTTCCAACTTTAGACTGCAGCAACCTTTGTTATTAATCCCTGTGGCCAAGGATCATCATTCCAAGATACTTTAATACTCGGTTTCATCTTTCACAACTTCCACAACTTTCACAACTTCCTCTTGGTTCAGTCTCTTCAAACACAGTCATCATTTACCAAGGCATGAATATTTCTATTGCTGTGCTTTTTTATTTCCAAACACTATTCTTTGGAGAAGCTCTCTGAATATTACTTAGTTTGACAGATATAAGAAGGTAGTTCCAGGAAGATGGTGGTGCCAGGAGCAGAGTTTTCAAATCCCTAGGTAAAACAGCATTTATCTATGCAGAAAACCCAAAGTGGGCATGCACGTACACACACACACACACACACACACACACACACACACACACACACACACGCCCACTCCTCCTTCATGTATTAACATAAACGTAGGAGAAAACGAGTAGAAAAGGAATGCCTGGTAGGTCTGAGAAGACAGAGAGTACCAAGATAGCCAAAAGCCGGTCACTGGAAACACAGCGAGCCACCTAGAGCACAACACTTCAAACTGGGAGGTTTTACTCATTGCAAACACAGTCAAGGGCCCAGATTTCATGGTACAGGCTAACAGAATGCGAGCAGTCAAACCACTGTGACTACATTTACCAGCCAAGTGTCTATTCCAGGACAGGGGCACAGGAGATTACAAAAAAAGGAAACAAGCCCTTGCTTAAACATCAGACTAGAACCAGTCTAGAAGGTGACCATTTCAAATTAGAAACGATTTCCTCATCCAAAACCCACTAAGCAAGCACCTTGATCCTGGACTTCTCAGCCTATAGAACAGAGAGAAGCAAATGTTTATAGCTCAGTCCATAACCTATTCGAGGAATTAAAACACAAGGCTAGAGATTTGCCCTTAGAGGTGAGAAGTAGAAATAAATGAGAATTTGATGACTGGAAGAGGACATAAATTAAGATTTTTAACTGGTTGAACAGCAGATCAGAAAAAAGAACCAGTGAACTAGAATACAGATAAAAAAAAACTATCTAGAAAAATGACAGGAAATACAGACAAGAGCATAAGCGACAATAGAATACTTTCTCAAGTGAAGAGGCAGATCAAGTATTATGCTTTTTCCATTTAAATGAGCATTCACCTCTTGCTAATAATCTTTGATTTGAAAAAAAAGTACTTAAATTTAGTAAGAAAAAATCATAAATAATCAATGAACCCAGGACATAATGCCAAAATTAGGCTTTTTGGATTTTTAAAATTTCATTTGGTAGGCAGAGAGAGTGGGTACTCCAATGTACTGGTTCCCTCCTCAGATAGGCTGAGAGGTTGGGGGTATGGCAGAAGCTGGGAGCCAGAGACAGCCTCTCACAAGGCTGCCATCTAGCTGCCTTCCAGGGTGCACATCGCAGGAAGCCAGAGCCAGGTGCAGAGCTGGGACTTGAACCCAGGCACTCTGAAATGGCATGCGGATATTCTATTAGCTTACGTAACTGTCCCTGTAATAAATTTTCCTGGACCAAAAGCAAACCTACATCTAAGAGGAAGATAGTAACATAGAACACAAATAGCACATGTATAAACTGAAAACGTCTGTGCCTTTTACCTTTCCCGGGGTTGCTGCTGCAGTTTCTCAAGTCGCACCACAGATGCCTGGCTTTGCTGGGGTCCCATGTTTGGAACCCCAACAGTAACATTCAGGTCTGGAGACAAGAATGCTGGATATTCTACTGCTTGTGGCAAAATAACATTTCTGCAAAAATGGCAATAAAGTTAAATGTTGAAATTACATAAAAATGCACTTATGGTTGCATCTCAGATTCTAGGGGATATTTTATCTTGCTCAAGAAATTAAATCATATCTGTATGACAGCAGTTGCAAGTGCATTCAGCACTAAATTAAGCACACAATAACCCACTGTCATTCCCTAAGGTCCATCTGTCATCTGCGCAAGCTAATTGTAAGTTGAATGAAGATAGGAAGAGAATCAATGTCTGTTATTTTTCAAATCCTTGATGCTGGCAGTAACTTCCACAATCCCTCCAGGAACACAAAACTGCTTTTGGCTTACTATTTTTCTAGGTATAGTCAATACCAATAGCTTCCACTTGACCTTTGCCACCATAATAGCTTTAATTTCACAGAACTGGCAAAACATATCCATTCCAATTACGCATTCTGGAATAGGGGAAATAGGATGGATGTCAAGCCCCACTAAAACTGCATTGGCTCTGTGACCTCTGTCAGTTTCTACTCCAGATAATGGATCACAGTGACACTTGGAGTCTCCTAGAATTAGTTTCAATCCAGTGTCCAGGAATTCCCAAATACCCATAGGTCCCTTGAGGAAAGATAAGGGAAAAAATTAACAGTGTAAATTTCTGGCAGATAGTAGGATCCCTCTTTGAGAGAATTCAGCCTCCTCACTTAAAGGGTCCTGGATTTTTAAGCTGGGCAAGTCTCATGACTCACTGACTTTATAATTCAGGCTGAACTTTCACTCACTTTTCCTAGAACTGCCTAGGAAGAGGTAAGAAGGCCTACTATTTATTTCACTTCCAGGCATACCATGATGAACTAGCCAATGTCCTCGGTATGTGTGTGTCAGACTATCTTCAGACTATCTCTGAAGTTAATCTGCAGTACAGTAACCATATCCACTGTATTGTTCCTGCCACTCTGGGAACCAATTATACCCACTGCATGTAGGTTTCCTAATTCAATGACTGCAGTTTCACCTTATGGTCTTGTCTCCAGAGAAGAGTAATTACAGAGATCTTTAAGGGTTCCAAGTTTTTAATCCAGTTCTCATATTCTTGATGAAGTTGTTCGTTTGACCTCCCAGGGTAGACAAATATTAACTAACAAGTCTACTCTAATATTACAGTTTCCCTAAGCTTTTGAAACTCTTCCTTTGTAGTTAACCGACATTTATCCTTTTGGGGGGAAATTGTTATCTATTTCATTTATTTGAAAGGTGAAGATCTCCCATCTTCTGGTTCGATCCCCAATTGTCCACAATAGCTGGGGTGTGATAAGAGGTCCAGCCAAAGACAGGAGCCCAGAACTCATCAAGATCCGCCATGTGGGTGGCAGAATGTATTTTAAGTCACTTTCAGATTTTGAACAATATTTTAACAACTTTTCAATGATCATATGGAAGTAATATCGAATTTGTGTGGAGATAGGTTAATATTACTATACTGCAGAGCAGAAAATGGTTGATAAGACACCCAGATATTAAAAGCCTCTCTCTGACCAACAATACTACCTCACTGTCCAACTTTCCTCTTTAATTATCTTTCATGAACTAAGCACTCTTTTGTCTTTTAGTTTTAATGCTTTAAAATTTATTTTCATTTCATTTGAAAAGCAGAGGGACAGAGAGAGATGGAGGAAGGGAGAGGGAGGGAGAGGAGTAGGTGTTCCATATGCTGCTTCACTCCTCAAATATCACAACAGATGGGGCTTAGCAGGCTGAAACTGGAAGCTTGGAACTCAATTTGGGACCCAAGCACTTGAACCTTCACCTGCTGCTTCCCACAGTGCACATTAGCTGGAAGCAGGGTCAGAAATGATGGAGTCAGGACTTGAATCAGCAACTCTGATATGAGATGCAGGTATCCCAAGTAGCACCTTAATTACTGTGCCAAATGCACATACCTTCTCTTCTTCATGTCTCTAGACCTCACCTCCGCTCTCCAGGGCTAAACCCAGAAGTTTAAGTTTTCTTCCATCCTATTAATCACTTGAATGGGTTTCCCTTCCCTTGGAGTCTAATCCATCCTGGCCATTCCCTGAACATCTCTGAAGGTGACTGAAGTGCTCCCCATCTTCCCCCAAAGGACCTATGAGTATTTGGGAATTCCTGGACACTGGATTGAAACTAATTCTAGGAGACTCCAAGTGTCACTGTGATCCATTATCTGGAGTAGAAACTGACAGAGGTCACAGAGCCAATGCAGTTTTAGTGGGGCTTGACATCCATCCTATTTCCCCTATTCCAGAATGCGTAATTGGAATGGATATGGAGGGGTTTTTTAATGCCATTGAATCTGAAAATATGAGTAAGATGTAGAATACTTACGTCACAGGATCTTTTCTTTCTGGAGGTGGTGCGACTTGCATAAACATAGATGGCTCAACAATTTTCTGAAGAGGTTTTAACTAAAGAAAAACGTGCTTTTTTAAAACACCATTTACTTACAATCATAATAGGCCATTAATAATCCCAATTGACTATAGAATAGGCCATTAATAACAAATATAAGGACAAAAGAGAGGAATTGCATTAATTGGGTACTTTCACTTTTTCATTTTTATAGCAGCACTGTTGACAACAGCCAAAACAAGGAGTCAGTCAAGGTAGCCATCATCAAATGACTGAATAAAGAAAATGTGCATGTGTGTAAAAAATGAATGAAATTCTATCATTTACATCAAAATGGTTGAACTGGAGGGTATCACATTGACTGAACTAAGACACAGAAAGATAAGCAATGCCTGTTCTTCCTGATATGTGGAAGTTACACTTTAAATAAATAAATATATAAATAAAATCAAAAAGCAAAGACAAAAAAATAGCTATGTGTAACATTATTGCTGAAAATATAGTTTTGCCAAGCTTTGTTTTATTTCTTTGTGAACCAAATTGTTAAGAATGGTGTATTACTCTAGTTTTAGTGGTTTCAGACTATTTCACATTTTACAATATATGAGTCAATTTTCATTTTATTACTGTTAATAGGTATTGTCAATATTCCTGCTGAGCTCTATACAGCCCTACTTGTTGAACTCTTTAGTTAGTAAAGCATTAAGCTTTTGACTATAATGTAAATATAAAATGTTATCTAAAAAATTATAGCTAAATAAATGTATTGGGTACTAAATATTTTCCAAGGATTTTACACCATGAATCTTATTTAAGCCCCTCAATAAACATAAAAAGAAAGTAATGTAATAAAATATATTACAGAATGATATTGAAGATAAGTTGTCCAAGGCTACACAGTAAGAATGAGTGTCAGGATTTGAATGCAGTTTTATCTGTTCCCAAAGTTGTTCTCTTTACTGCATTCTGACAGGTAAGTATGGGACTTATCACAAAAAAACCAGAGGCATCAAATCAAATTGAACTTCTACTCACCAACGTAAAAAAGATATGCAACCATTTTTTTCTGAAAACATTTTATCTCTTTAGGATTGGCTATTGTTGCATATTACAATCCTATTTGGAGAAAAAAAAAAACCTATCTCTGTGGGTCACAAACTATGATAGTCACACAAAGAACTAAACAAATATGGTTCAAATAAAGTTTAATTTGCACTTTTAAAAAGAAGAAAACAAGCAGAAAAATATCAAAGCAGAAATGAAAAACAAAGTTTGGTTCCTGTGGCTTCCATTTGTATATTACGTCTGATTCAAAATATATTAAAATCATCATGGAATACCACAGACAAAATTTTTAAACATATTACAGGGATATCTCAATTAATGTCATGGTTGCTGTATTTGAATTGATACTGCCAGTCTTAATGCCTAATTTTAAAATACCGAAAGCTATTCCCAAAATAACAGAAATTGAAAAAGAAAAGTCACATGTAAAATAAAGGGGTCATTTATCCTATATAACAACACATAAATAAGGTTAGATTCCAATTGCTCCAAAGTTGTGATAACATCCAATGATACCAAGAATTATTTCAAATACTTAATGAGAGTGTATGTTAGGACAGCTTTTCTAGAATAAGTTTTTGAAAAAGCCATTGTTTTGAACAAGAATTTCCGTTCTGACCATCTTGCCTAAGGACATAATGAAGCAAAAGAACACAGCATAGTGTATAAAATGATCATGGTAGTGAATTTAAAGGGGCAAGCCAAAGCTAGGAAATATTTTCTTACTTTCTTGATGAATGAAATAGGATTCAAATAACACCAAATATTGAAACAACCCTGATGTTGAAATATACTAGAGGAAAGGAGCATATGTGCTTATAAATTCAGCTTTTAAAAAAAGATTTATTTGAAAATTAGAGTGGCAGGGAAAGAGGGATGGATAAGAAAGGGGAAAGAGATATTTCTCATCACTAGCTCACCCCCTAGATGTCTACAATCCCTAGATTTCTACATTAAGAAAAAAAAAAAAAAGCCAGGAGCTTCATCTGGATCTCTCACGTGGGTGGCAGGGGCCCAAATACTTGAGACGTTTTCTATTATTTTCCCAGTCTATTAGCTGGAAATTAGATCAGAAATGAAGCAGCTAGGACATGAGCTGGTGCCCGCAAGGGATGTTATTAACACAGAAGGCGGTTTTATCTGTTATGTCACAACACCAGCCCCAGTGACTTCATTTTTAATAACTATTTTAAATTCAAAAGATCTTTATTCAATATTTTAATAATGCTTATTTCTAATATATGCTTATCTTTAAACATATAAAAGTAAGTTTTATCGTAACAATATTAGGAATAAAAATCATTGCTTGAAAATATATAAACAAATAATGATAAGGTTTCATTTTTATTTAGGCTTCAGAAAAGCTATACTTCAAGGTCAGGATTATTTTTAAAATATTGATTTGAACAATTTAGGAACTGGAGCCTGGCATTGTGAGACAGCGGGGTAAGCTACACTGCAACATTGCTCCTGTCTTCAACCTGGCCCAGCCCTGGCTGTTGGATCATTTCATGGGCGAATTAGTGTATGGAAGATGTCTTTTTCTTTCTTCCTCTCCCTCTGTAATAGCCTTTCAAACAAATGAATACATATTTTCAAAAAAATTATTAACTGGGAAAAATTAGGGTTTAAGAAGAGGATAATTTGATTAAAAAACTAAAGTTGAATATTTTTAAAAGGGGGAACTAACCTGATGTGAAAATCCATAACCAAAGTTTCCATAGGAGAACATAAATTCTGCTTCTACCCTGCAGATAAACTAAACATGTGGCAAATTTATTTCATTATTTGATCAAAATAATAATTTAAAGGAAAGTAATAATCAATAACATCTTTACTGCACAAATAAAGTAAAAAAGCCAAAATATGAATCTCCTGATGTAATATATACATGTATTATTTGTATATATAGAAATACATATACGTGTGTGTGTGTATAAATGGATGTGTGTGTATAAACCATGAGCTCCTTTAGAATATATTGAGCTCTTGAGTGAGGAGGTTGGAATCCTTGTGTTTTTAAACCCATATCATGAAAAAAAATTTGAGATATATTCATTTTATATAAATTAAGGATCACAATAATAAATTTGAAAAGCTTTCATGTTAAAGTCAAGCAATATTATAAGACCAAAATATGGAAATGTCAAGTTAAAATCACTAGTAGGATTATATTGAAATACTGACATACACATATATATATATACTGGTTCACATATAAGCATACATTTTAATCATTTACTCATATTCCTGTCACTTTCATTCCAATGCGCTCAACTGTCAGATAATTTGGCATAGGATCTATTTATGTGTAACATGAAGAAGAATGTCAGAGCTGATGATTTCAACAGCACATTGTTTTGTTTTTGGTTCCATTCCCAGGTTTGAGCAAGAACAGCAGAAGTACCTCTAAAGAGGTGATTAACTAATCAAGCTAATTATTTTAAGCACTTTTTAAAAATTAGGTGAGCCATATGAACAACTGTTTGGAAATCACAAAATGAAAAACAGCACTTTAAGCAGGTGTGGCTCCTGAGGGGAGGCAAAGAAGCAGCCAGAGGCATGGCACTCTCATCCAATTACTTCCAATTTTTTCATTATTTAGCAGTAAGATGGAACTTTAAAAAAAAAAAGAGTAAAATTTTTGTGAACAAATATTGCAATTTCTACTTAATATGTTTTTACTAATGTAAACAGTGTCTGGTGGGATAATAATTAAAACTACAGGCTATAAGCAGTGTAAAGCTTTTATCAGAGCAAGTTAAGCAAACGCTGCACATTACACAGAAACAAAATTCAGGAAGTTTCAGCAAAGTTCTTACTGTGTTTTTATTCATCATTAGCAATTCTTCAGTAAAACACCCTTTCTAGAAAAATAAATGAATAAAATGATTAAACATAAAATCACTCATAATTATTTTCCTGTATCTCATCTGAATCATATTAAAGATGTTTCAAAAGCATACATGAATCTTATGCTTAATATACAAACACAATGAATATTCAAAAGAAAAATTAAAATTCTAGATGCATAAACACATCCCAGACAAAATGTCCCTGCTAGTTACAGTTCTCCTTGTGAAAGTCTTGGAAAAACTGCCACGCCCATACTGCTTTTCTCTCCCTCCTCTCCTTCATCTCCCTCCTCCTCCTTCCTCTTTTCTTTTTTTTCTTTCTCCTCTTCTCCTTCTCTTCCTTTTTTAAAAATGTATTTGAAAAGTAAAGAGGCAGAGACAGCCAGCTCCCACTCCCATCTACTGCTTCACTCAGTCCACATTTCCCAGGGGTGACAGGAAATCAATCATTGGAGGCATCTTTGCTGCCTCCCAGGAAGTGCATACACATGAAGTTGCAGTCAGGAGCTGAAGCTAGGACCTGAACCCAGCTATTCCGTTGTGGGATATTCCGAAACAAGATTTTAACTGCTAGGCCAAATGCCTGTCCCCCCATTATTTCCAATCATCATGCTTCTTGAGATGTTAACCACATGATCCCTGATAGGACAGTCTCTCATCTCTGGGGGACTGTTGGGATCTTCTAATGCAGACAAAACTTGGGTATCTTTGGCCTCTAGTTGTGGCAACCTCTGTTTTCCCATGAGCCACACTACATAATCCAATGTTCCATCACTCTTTTTATTCCCACTATATGCCACATTCCCAATTCCACAGTTAACAAACAACATTGTTTTTACAGTTCCACTAAACATTTTTAAGACATTTGGGTCACTAAGCCTCACAGTGAAAACTCTGTTTCCTAAACACATGTATTTAAGGGCAGATTATAAAGAAAACGAGTCACCTAGACATAATAAACCACCACAGCAAATACCAACTGGGTTATATGGCACTATGGTAGAAAAAAAAGGCCTTCTATGCATACCTGGATTACTTCATAAAGATGTAATTCACAGCGCCCTAAGAAGAGAGGATATTTTTCTGTAGCGTCATGCTGCATTAGATCCAGGTAAATATTATTTCGCTCATCATCTTGATGTCTGGGAACCTCAATTTCAAAATGTATATAAAAAGAAGCGTTAAATGTTAAGTGTGAATTTCAAATTCAAATTCTGATTAGATGCAAACATAGCACATATTACACTGTGTAGGAAACTTCTCAAAGTTATGCTTGTGACTCTCTTCTCCTTAGAAATGAGAACAAAAATCCCTATGAAGCATAACAGTTAAGAGGCTGGCTTGGCATTTCAGCAATTTGGCAGTGTTACAAGCAGTGTGTCTGTTAAAACATTACAAGTACTCAACATAATATCTAAAAATAACTCCCTAAAAGCACTAATAAACCAATAAAATAGTAAAAAAAAATCATATAAAGCATCAAGTATTAGCATACAATAAGAAGGGTAAAGTAGGAAGTTACATTTGCCCAGAAGATATTTCCCAGTCTGAAACCGCATTTTCATGGCTTCAAAAGGTACATAAAAGAGAAGACAAGATACGGGGCATATCACAGAAGACACTTGCCCACCCCTCCTCTGATAGCACTGAGAATCCAAGGAGCTAAAGCTTCAGGAAATAAGAAAACATTCTTCCCAACACATTTATGATTACAATGAAAGCTGTAACGTTCTGAGCAAAATGGGAGGTAGGGAGTTCCTGGTAAACTGGAACTATAAACCTATTTAGTAGAACTAATGCCTAAATTCACACTAAGTAGAGGCATAAAACCTCCTGAGTCTACACTTAAAATCATTTCAGTGGTTTTACATTACATACAATTTTCCGCAATATAAACAAACTGGCCAACATTTAAATTTTTTTAAATATCTCAAATACAACACTTAGTTTATAATAATCCCAACAGATAGTAATCTCAGGAGCCTCAGAAGCTAACCCAGTATTCTCTTCAGGGCTGCTGTCATCCTAGACCTCAAAAGAAGTCCAGGAAAGGTATGAGATGACAGTAAAACATAAATCAGCATGGAAACGAAGCACTGAGAGACTCAGAAGCAGATCCACAAAAACTTCAATTAGAACTTTGTTTTAAAGTGTTACGCTTCCTATGTTTAAAGGAATACATTTTTTAAAAAGAGCTACAATAGGGCCCGGTGGCGTGGTCTAGTGGCTAGTCCTCGCCTTGAACGCGCCTGGATCCCATATGGGTACCGGTTCTAATCCCAGTAGCTCCACTTCCCATCCAGCTCCCTGCTTGTGACCTGGGAAAGCAGTTGAGGATGGCCCAAAGCCTTGGGACCCTGCACCCACATGGGAGACCTGGAATGAAGTTTCTGGTTCCCACCTTCGGATCAGCGCCACACTGACCATTGCGGTCACTTGGGGAGTGAATCATTGGACAGAAGATCTTCCTTTCTGTCTCTCCTCTTCTCTGTAATCTGACGTTGTAATAACAATAAATAAATCTTTTTTTTTTTAAAAAAAGAGCTACAATAAACTGTTAGGATGATCTAGCTAACTTGAACAAAGAATTAGACTTTTAGAAATTGAAAATAAGATAATTAAATTAAAATATTAAACAAATAGACTCAACTACAGATTTTATATGTCTTAACAGATTTAGAGAGCCAGAACAAATTTCTGAAAAATTATTTAGAATACAAGGAAGATGTTATGTAATAAAAAATTTATTTAAAAAGTTAAAAGATATGGAAGAACATCTAATATATACTAACCAGAGTTCCAGGGATGAAAATAGCAGATCAGGAAAATGGGGCAGAGAGGTACTACTTGAAGAAATAATAATTAAGATGTCTCATAGAGGATGAACATCAACAATCCACTCTAAGCAGCCATTAGACCCAATACAATAAATAAACATAATGTAATAAAATACAGTCACATCAGTGTGAAATCAGAAAAGAAATGCAACAAACAAAGACCGATGATACATAATTTTCAAATGTGGCAGACTGATAAATGATTTCTCTTCCATAAATATGGAATCTGGGAGACACTGGGGTCATTAGATCATGCCAGGCATGGAAAGCAGTTCTCTAGAGTGTTGGTTACATAAGCTAAGTGTGCTGCCTATCTCCCTCTGCCTCCTGGCATGCCATATGCCTGTCTTCCTGCCATAGTCATGCTCACCAGATGCCTAAACTCAATATTGGACTGCAAACTCCTAAAACTATAAGCCAAAATAAGCCTTGTTCCTTCCTAAGAAGTGATGATACAGAAAGCTGATACCAGTAAAATCATTACTATTAAGCCTACCTTAAAAAGAGAGAGAAGCCTCTGGAACTAGATTACTGGAATAATGTTGGCATTAGAAAAAACTAGACTGCTGGAAAGAGAATGTTACAGAAAATATGTGTGTGTTTCTAAAAATCCAGAATACAGGTAAAAATGTAGAGTTGACAGCCAACTTGATCAAATCTCAAATGTAAATTTAAGAATTCCTACTGGATGTACGATTAAAGGCTATTCTTGCTACACGGTGGCAGAAAAACCTGACTATATTGCATCCATGGCCTGAGATTCTACAGGAGACTGAACTTAAAAGATGGTGGGCTACTTTGGTGGGGCAGATTTCAAGGTAGGCAAGTGTTCTGGCTGCTATTAGTAAGTCCTGTAGTGAGACAATCTCACTTGAAAAGGTGGTAAGAAGTGATTACTGGAATTGCAACTCAATATTGGGAAGACTCAACAATAGTTTCACCATTCTAGCTGAACCAGACTCCAAACACCATGAGTTGTTCACCTTGAAGTCACTATTCAGCTGTCAACCCTGCAGCATCTATTCTCCTTGGCTCTCTGGAGATTTGCTAAACATGTGTAAAGACGCAAAGAAAAGCACAAACTGCCTCTAAAAGATACGTCTTAAAGTATCAACACTTAAGTAAAATGAAATTTGTAAAAATAAAAAATCAGCACAGAAGAAAATCCATGCAATAAAACTATTAGGAAACAGACTGATCAGTGAACCCTGTAGCTATATGGAACATTGCTGCTGATTTGGAAAATGTGGGATACATTGAATATTTTAAGAAACTTAACTGTGACAAAATAATATGTTCCAGTGTGAGGAGTAATTTACTGAAGTGTGGTCTGAGGTGAGACTGAATACATTTCCAGCTCTACCACATTCCAGTTCTGTGACTTTAGGAAAGTTCTTTAACTGCATAGTTTCTTAGTTTCCTCATCTGTTGAGCTAGGATGGCAATAAGATGTATACATATGAGTGTTTATAAATACTAAATACCTGAACCCACACAACAGTTAGTCTGTATAAAGAGACTGTAGGAGAAGAGAAGACAAAAGTGGAGGAGATTTTAAAGACAAAAATAGGAGAGGGTAGATGGGAAGGGAAGAAGTCAGGTGGAAAAAAATCCAAGAAGGGCCAACACAGAACCATAGTGGCACTTCAGCTAAGAAACTCATCACCACACATTTTGCAGGAAACTTTTTGTCTTAAACAAATTATAGCCCTATTGCTTCTCAGCCTTCTGGCCTAGATTATGTTTAGGACTACAGTTCACACAGTATATATACAATAGTTTAAAATACTTAATAATAAAATACTGCTTTCACTTTTTCCCGACCCATTTTAAAAATGGAAAAGACAGAATTAGGGTAGAATATCTGAAACTATAAAGAGATTATTATATCAAGAAGATAATTTTAATATTACCTGTACAGAAAAATACTTCACTTCATCAAAACTAATTACGTTGAGCTTCTTATTGCTTCTGGTTATCAAGCTACAAAGTTTTGTAGATTTCACAACATTGTTTATGGAGATGCAAATGAACAAATTAGTATAATGTTGTGAACTGACTGATACAGAAGTTGAGGAAATAAGCTTTGTTGTAACTGAATAATAACACATTATAAATTAAGCCAGTAATTGCAATCCATGACTCTATTAGTCCAAAACCTAAGAATAAGTCAAGTAGATCTAGAATATAATTGTAGAGTATACTGGTTTTATAGCATGATAAGCCTAAAAATAAGCACCCAACATTTAAAGTCACCAATGTCAATATATACATTTTGAAAATGTTAAAAGACATATATTTACAAATAAATTAGAATTACTGATTCATATACCAACAAGGTATGTATTTCTCCTTTAACTTTTATATATGATTAGAGTGCATTATAAATGACTGAAAATCTTATCACTCTCAGATTAAAAGAGAGTATATCCTTCTATTGCCATGGGATTTGGGTTAGCCCTTTGGTCACAAATTCAATGGATGTGATCAGGGCTAGGCAAGAGAGGTACTTGACCAGGGTGCAAAATTTAAGGAGGGGCCTGGCGCGACAGCATAGTGATTAATGCCCTCTCCTTGCACGCATTGGGATCCCATATGGGCACAGATTCTAGTCCCAGTGGCTCCACTTCCCATCCAGCTCCCTGCTTGTGGCCTGGGAAAGCAGTCGAGGATGGCCCAACAGGGAGACCATGGCTCCTGGGTTCTGGGTTCAGATGGGCACAGCAACGGCCATTGTGCTCACTAGGGGAATGAATCATCAGACGGAAGATCTTCCTCTCTGTCTCTCCTCCTCTCTGTATATCTGACTTTGCATTAAAAATAAATAAATCTTTTTAAAAAAAATGTAAGGAGACACCAAAAACTTCAGTGATTAAAAATATTTTTTAAAGTTAATTTAGTAGTTTGGTCAAGAGCAAGAAATCCAACTATTTCAGGACCTATCTAAGTTTATCAGTCCAGGCACACACACCAAACCACAAGACACATAAATGGGTTATTTCAGATCTTCCAGCTCCTGTGAACTCTCACACAGTTTGAGCCCAAGCTGGGCTGTTGTGAAACAGATACCACCTACTCAATGCACTGGCAGTTGCTGATAATAAAATGCTTATGTTGTAAGCCACTAAGTTTTGAAGTAGTCTTTATGCAGCAATGGATAATGAAATAATGAAATCTGATCACATTATGATTGTAAAATCAAAAAAGGATACTCCTAGACATAAATTGTTTACAATTCTTTATATGTATGGCCAGGCAGCCAACCTACAGGAAAATAAAGATACAGAAAGTGAATGCATTTATAAAAAGTACACTTTCCCTTTATACTGAAAAACGTTTTTAAATGTTTTATTTATTTTTTTGAAAGGCCAAAAAACAAAGAGATTTCCTCCATGCATTGGTTCACTGCCCCAGATACTTGTCACAGTTATGGCCGTCCAAAGCCAGAAGCCAGGAATTCAATCTGTGTCTCCCATGTGAGTAGTACAGACACACGTATTTCAGCTGTTAGCTTTTGCTACCCAGAATGTACAGGAGCAGAAAGCTGGATATTTTAAGAAAAGCATGGAGATGGGCCCGGCATGGTAGTGTAGTGGCTAAAATCCTCACCATGAATGTACTGGGATCCCATATGGACACTGGTCCTAACTCCCAGCATCCCCACTTCCCATCCAGCTCCTTGCTTGTAGCCTGGGAAAGCAGTCGAGGATGGCCTGAAGCCTTGGGACCCTGCATCCACATGGGAAACCTGGAGGAGTCTCCAGGCTCCTGCTTTGGATTGGCTTGGCTCTGGCCACTGAGGACACTTGGGGAGTGAATCAATAGATGGAAGATCTTCCTCTTTGTCTCTCTTCCTCTGTTTATCTGACTTTGCAATAAAAATAAATCTTAAAAAAAAGAAAAGCATAGAGCTGAAACTTGAAACCAGGAACTCAAATACGGGATGTAAGCATCCCAGGTGGTGGCGAAACCACGATGCCAGACACCCACTCTGAACAATATTCTGCTTAAAGTTCAATACTGGGGCCCGGCGCGGTGGCGCAAGTGGTTAAAGGTCCTCGCCTTGCACGCCTGGGATCCCGTATGGGCGCCGGTTCTAATCCCAGCAGCCCCGCTTCCCTTCCAGCTCCCTGCCTGTGGCCTGGGAAAGCAGCAGAGGACGGCCCAAAGCTTTGGGACCCTGCACCCGCGTGGGAGACCCCGAAGAGGCTCCTGGCTTCGGATCGGCATAGTATCGGCCCGTTGCGCTCACTTGGGGAGTGAATCATCGGACGGAAGATCTTCCTCTCTGTCTCTCCTCTCTGTATATCTGCCTTTCCAATAAAAAAATAATAAAAATAAATCTTTAAAAAAAAAGTTCAATACTGTTGTTCTTCTCTGCATATACTTTCTCAATGAAAATATATAGTTCATGGAAAATATCATAAAGCAGAAAAACAGAATGAAAAGGAACACTGAACAAGAACACAAAGTCAAGAAAACATGATCATCACTCTGAATCATTCTTGTTTTATATGACATAGCAACTGATAAAATGCAAGAAATAGGTTTTGCTTCGATCTCATTTCTCCAGCAACTTAAAATCACTTTATTCAGCAAGCAGTTACCCATTAGCTTTTGTACGCCAGGGACTGTAAGTATTCAGTTTTTATATACAAAAGTCTTCTAAATGTCAAAGGAAATTTTATCTTTTGTTTAACCATAAAAATCAAATACAAAATGAACACAGGAACATTGATTCTAATACCTAGCACTAAGCAAATATATTTAGCCATGTTTAGTTTCAAAGTAAAAATAGCAGAAACATTGTATTAAATATTGCATTGAAGGGAGGAAGTGTGGCAAGATAAATTCTTATTTCATTCCCAGTAGCTCTTCTGATAACATTCAGACAAGAGACAGCACTATTGAAGAATACCATGATATTTTTACAGTTCTGGTTGTTCACTGGTTCTCACATCCTACACTCTGAAGCATCCAAAATAACATTTTTTTTTTTAAATTCTCAGCTATATTTTAGGGCTTATCATGGTGTGTGTGTGTGTGTGTGTATGTGTGTGTGTGTGTGTGTGTGTTTCTGGTCCTGGGGATTTGAGGATATAGGGAATCCAACTTTGCAGACAAATCTTGCTACAGAATGCAATAAAAATACCGACTCCAGGGCTTAGCAGATCCCAAAGTCAATGCTTTAAAAAATTATTTTGGGGCTTGGTGCAGCAACCTGGTGGCAAAGATTATCACCTTGCATGCTCCAGAATCCCATATGGGCACTTGTTTGTATCCTGGCTGCTCCATTTCCCTTTCAGATTCCTGCTTGTGGCCTGGGGAAGCAGCGGAGGGCAGCCCAAAGCCTTGTAACCCTGCACCTGCATGGGAGACCCAGAGGAAGCTCCAGGCTCCTGGCTTTGGATCAGCTCACTCCAGCCATTGTGGCCATTTGGGGAGTGAACCAGTGGATGGGAAGTCTTCCTCTCTGTGTCTTTTCTCTATAAATCTGACTTTCCCATAAAAATAAATAAAATCTTAAAAAAATTCTCCTATGACTTTGACACTACTGAACTTGGGATTCTCTAGTATAGTAGACATTATATCTGTGAATTCGGATTTAGTCCTTAATTTCAGGATTATTTGTAATGTTTTCTGATCTATAAACATGAAAACTTTCAAAAGAATGAAAACTTCATAAACATAAATATATGCTAGGATTGTTTCATGCATATACTGTTTTATTACCAAATAATACACATCAATTATGTTTCAAGCAGTAATTAATTTGTACAAGTATATTGATAATTAGTGATTCATACCACATCCCCAAATGGCACCAAAGTTGGTTTCTCAGGTGTTATTTCCAGTTCTTCACTCTCAGTCCCTTTCAGAGTTTTTCTCAGCATCTACAATGTAAATAATTTAAGACTTCAGAAAAGAAAAAAAATGATTGGATGAAATGTTAATTTGATTTAATTATTTGTAAACATCTAGTAAGCATGAGGTACTATAGGTACTATCAGGTACTTTAGGTAGCAAAATACCAATATTAGTAAGAAACTCAACCTTATCTTTACTAAGTTTATCAATTAGCAGAGATGCATTTTAAAAGAGACTAGCTAGATACAAAATCATTAAGGGAATCCTAAAAGACACAGTACTAACAAAGCAGTTTAGTTTGTCATTGGATTCAACACATAAATTGTGGAATGCTGCAGCACTGGAATTCTTGTTACCAAAATAAACTGGGAGACAGAAAGTTAGTGAATCATAGAGGACTCTGGAAAAGAGCAGAGAAGGTTAAGAAACATGAAGAAAGCATAGACAAAATCATCCTGAAAGAGAGAAAATTAATCCTACATGTAAGTCTGGCCTCATGTCTAGGATACAGGGATTCACAGCAATGACTGCAGAGAAGAGATCTAAAAGAAAAGGCCCAGGAGGAGCTTTCTTAGAGCAGCACTGTCTCAGGAATAAAAGAGACAAAGAAGAGAGAACCTTTTTATACACGTGAGCACAAAGCATTTCAGAGAAATACCAGAATAACCAAAGACCGTCATAAGACCGTCATAAGTTAGGCCCACCCATTTCCTTCACTTCCCACCAATTACAATTTCACTGGCATTGCGGCACAGCAAGTTGGGCTACCATTTATGATGTTGGTGTCCCATTTGACCACTGGTTCAAGTCTGACTGCTCCACTTGTGATCCACCTTCTACTAATACACACCCAAGAATTAGTAAACCCACGTGCTTGGCCCCTGTCAACAACATGAGAGACATGGCTGGAGTACCCAGCTCCCAGCTTTGGCCTAATACAACCCTGGCCATGATGGCCATTTGGGTACTGATCCTATGGATGATCTCTTTCTCTCTCTTTCTCTTTCTCTCTCTCTCTCTCTCTCTTTCCCCTCTCTCCCTCCTCCCTCCTTCCCCCAGTCTCACTCTTCCACTCTCTCTTTCCTTCTCTGTAATTATGCCTTTCAAATAAATAAATAAATCTTTTTTGAAAAAATAATGACTATTTAAAGTAACTGCAATTCAGCACACTAAATGGAAAGAATAATACTGAACCATCTGTAAGAGACATAAGTAAGGAAAAGCAGAGCAGTGCCTTTAAAACACTATAGTAAGAAAAAATGGGAAATTTTCAAAAGACAACACCTCCAAAAGAACAATAAATTATAGTATGAAATCTGAAAGTCAATCAAATGTGTTCAAATATGGGTTTGGGGATTTTTTTTAGTCTATAATCACAAATCCAATTATTAAAACAGAAAACTAAAAATGAAATCAGTGCTGATAAATTCAGGAAAGAAATTTTTAACTCAAATGTTCTAATTTTATTCATCAACATGTATTAACAATAAACTGCAGTCACCTGAAAATACACAGATACAGGATGTGCTTGTACAGCACATAAAAGTAGAAGCTATGTAATCAGGTTGACCTGAGCTAGACTCCTGACCCTGCTATTTCCCAGTCTCGAGTTTGCAGCTTTGGCCCCTGGCAAGGCAGCTGACCACAGGGGCCTCAGTTTCTCCACAGAGAATATGAGGTCAGACCTTGGAAAGATCTCCACAGCCCTGGAGCAACAAAACCTACAACTTCTCAAGGTTATCTAAACCACTCCAGCAACATCCTAGCAATACACTTCTCTACATTGGAGTCTCCAAGGTATCAAATGACTGTCCCCCATCCCTGGGTACTGACAGTTTGACCATAAAGAGGGCCCCCTCTACCTCCTCCCCTGAGAACACAGGAGAAAAAAAAAACTGAAACATTTATCCCATCTGTCTCAACTATGTAAACAATATTTTAAATTTTTTTCATGTTATAAAAGATATGAGGTTAATGACAGCTATTATTTTATATGGATAGTTTGGAGGGTTAATGTACAGATAACACATGTGAAACTTAGCAAACATTACATACATGTTAACTGCTACTTTATCACCACAAGCACTTGGATATTTTCAAACAACATAAGAAGCAGCTAAGATTTGTCCTTGTATTTCACTTTTTTATTTTCCCCATGCATTGCATGAGTTATAACTTCTTTATATACTCCAAAGCAGTGGTAAAACTACAGTATTCACCTACACATTTAAAATACAGTTCATTGCCACTTGATTAACTCAAGAACAGAACATCCCTGATTTTAGAATAGTTCATGTATGTATGGTTGAGACTGCTGTTGTGACTCTACAGTCAAGTGCAAAACTGGTCTCTCAACCAGTGGCAACAAAATCATGACCAGCAGTGCTAATAAAAGGAAAAACACATATGCTGGTGTCCACATCCTGGACTTTTTATCTGAAAAGTTGAAGGTAGGGGCCCAGAAATCTACTTTTCGAAAGCTCCCTGGGTGACCTATATAACTGTATGTGCAGTCAGGCTCTGAACCACTGAGGCAGAGCACAATAATATCTTAGGTATCTGAGTGTCTAAGAACAAACAAAAAAGTTAGGATGCTGGTTTTTGGGGGGGAGGGGCTGAAATTATCTATTTAGTGCTGAGTGTGGAGCTTTGCAATGAAAAACCCTTCTCCACTGTCCTCAGAACATCAGAGAACTATTGGCCATCCCCAGGTGTGGATGTTTGCTTTCCAGAAATTCTTGTCCCTTGTTGTTAAGCATTGTTAACCATGTTGTTAAGCACTGTTCTAGCCCTAGTTAATACAGGCCCAGACTGCACACAAGCACAGGATTTCTAATCATCCACTTACCTAAGTGAGAGTCTTGCCAGTCACATAATGGGACTCTAGGCCTAAGTATGGAGTGACAATCAAATTTTGGTTCTGCATCGATGGCTTTCACTTCTCCATTAATTGTGTATATGTATGTACGTGTGTATCTATACACCCATATACACATATATATGATATAGACAGATATAGATATAGATATAGATATAGATATAGATATAGATATAGATATAGATATAGATATAGATATAGATATAGATATAGATATAGATATAGATATCATTTATCAGCTCCTTTGGAGCAAAGCAAGTTGAAATGTTTACACCCTCCATCTTTTGCCATCTCTACAAGAGAAGGGCAATCCCCAGTGCCATTGCTGTTGCTGCTTGTTCCTTGAGACTACCCCTCCAAGTGAAAAAAAAAATCTTTAAAAAGACAAAAATGTCGGGCCCGGCGTGATGGTGTAGTGGCTAAAGTCTTCTCCTTGAACACATCAGGATCCCACATGGGCGCCGGTTCTAATCCCAGCAGCTCCACTTCCCATCCAGCTCCCTGCTTGTGACCTGGGAAAGCAGTCAAGGATGGGCCAATGCCTTGGGACCCTGCACCCGTGTGGGAAACCTGGAAGAGCTCCTGGCTCCTGGTTTCGGATTGGTGCATCACTGGCCATTGCAATCACTTGGGGGAGTGAATCATCAGACAGAAGATCTTCCTCTCTGTCTCTCTTCCTCTATGTATATTTGACTTTGCAATAAAAATAAAATAAATCTTTAAAAAAAAAAAAGACAAAAATGTCCCGGAAACAAATTGCACAATGCCCGAGGAAGCATGGATTCAAATGCATACTTAATGTGAGCCCTTGGAAAGAAAATAAAACCAATAATATTAGGGGGGAAAGAGAGAAAAGTAGCTTAATGGAAAGACAAACAAATGAGAAACCTCTGAAGAAGAAAAACAACACAAATAAGACCTGATATTTAAAATCGCAAGCCAAGAACTTTTAGGCTATGAGACCTATATTTGATAGGTCTCATTATGTTTCTGGGAAAACTGACTAAGAATGATTCAGATGCTTCCTAATAAAATCATTAGATTTTATAAATTATTACAAGGGTAAGCAACGAGATTAGCATCAAATTTCTCAAGACCGACATAATGCAATGCAATTACAGAGCAACAGTTTCACGAAGTGCAAGACAGGAAAGGTCAAGCAAAGTATTTGTAAACAACCAAGCCATCCTTCAAGTACAAGACCATTTAAAAATGTAAGAAATGGAAAACAACTCAGGGAACACTTTCTCCTGAATGTTTCCTGCTCTCATAGATATCACACTGATGGAGCCCCTGTTCACAGACAATAAGTCTCCAAACCTTAAACCAAGATAAATCTGTTCTAAACAGATCTTCTCAGGTATTCTAAATATAGTGATAAAAGCCAATTAATATAATATTTAGTTTTCAATTAATTAAACAAAGTATTTAATAGTTTACAAACACAGAGAAACATCTCCCAACTACTCATTTCCTTCCCAAAATTGCCTTCAATAACTAAGGCTTGGACATTTTAAAGCCAGGGTCAGTGAGCTCAATCCATGTCTCCCACACAGGTGTCAAGAACCCATCCACATGAGCTGTCTCCCAGGACGGACATTATTAAGAAGCTGGAATTTGGATCAGAGCCAACACATGGTGCCTTAACACTATGCCAAAGAAATTTTTAAAGGAGCAAAACATGATAAATAAAGCAAAAAAAAAAATCATAATACTCAAGCTTACCATTCACCTCAACAAATATGCAAAGGTTTTACATTTATTTAAGACAAATAATGTTAAAATCAGTTCAGAAAGGCAAAACCCTAACGTATTCTTAGTATAATGGGCGAGCAACCATTACTCTTTCCCAGAACTGAGGGACTTCTTAGGATTTGGAACTTTTAGCTCTAAAATCAGGATAGTGTCAGGGACGTCAAGACAGTTGAGCACCCTTCTAATACAAAAAATTTACGTAATTTCGTGGCTTAGGAAGTCTAACATAAAGGACCTAAGATATACTAAGATACATTGACTAAGAAGAAAGCAAAGAGGAGCTGGCATGTGGCAGAATGAATTAATTAAGCCATAGCCTGTATGCGCTTATTTCAGTCCTGGCTGTTCCACAGCTGATCCTGCTCCCTGCTAATGTGCCTAGGAAAGCAACAG